ATTGATTTCCTGATAAATCCTGCCATTGCATAAGTAGGACTTAGGTAGGTAAGAGTACCAAGATTGATCTAATAAATTATGAGTTGTGTTTGTACAAATAGGAGACTGGTATGCTTCCATGCTACTGGCTGAAAACTGATGACAAAGTGGAAATGGAATAACCACTAATTCAGATTTGACTTTATCTTAGCCTACCATTGGCATAGGTAAAGATCAGTCATCTGGAAAATTTGGGTAAATCTGTCATTTTTTTAAGCCAACGTGCTTTTTTCACAAATTAGTTCACTGAAACAGCATAAGTCCCTTTTAAGACAGTAACTTTCATTACAAAATTATGTTTTCTGTAGCTCAGATGAGGTGAAAAATTGGTTCAGTCTGTAGAGTCCTTGTTCTGCAAATGCACATGTAAGTCTCTCAGTGTTGTTAGACATTACAAACACAAAATAGAAAAGATATGTTTTGAGTAGAGAAAAGGGGAAAAAAAAGATAAAACGGCCCTATTATCACATCAGTTCAATTGGCAACAAAGGTATGTGTTGAATCTCTCTAAAGTCTCCCTTTATTACCTGCTATTCTCCTTGGATATTTTCTACTGGGTAGTTCTAATTTAGAAAGACCCTTCAGGGCTCTCGTGCTTCTCAAAAGGATCTGCAAAAGAGTATGTGTCCCAAAATAAATATCTGCAACCAGCATCTTACCTTAGACTACGTGTCAGTATGCACTCACTTGGTATTCAGAGACTGCATCTAATTTAGACCTGAAGGCAGACACAGGTGAATAGTATTTGCTGCAACAAAACAGGATTCAAGCTACAGAGGAACTAATTTGTTAGTTAAAAAGGGCATCAATTAGAGAACTGCAGCATCTCTTGTAGTCTGGGTACTGTAATTTTTCCTTTTCTTAAGGATCCAAAAATGAAATTCCCTGTGTCTTTCATGCAAAAGAAAAAAAAGTACAAGCCTTACACCATTTAATTTGTTTTGATAAGATACCTATGAGATGACCTGGCTTATACTCAGGCACAAATAAAGAAAAATTCTCAAGTTCAATTAATTATCATGGCATAAAAATGTGCATGAAAACAGACAAAAATTAGGCATAATAATTAAGGTATTGTAAAATAAAAGGCTATGAACTATAAACCAAGAATAATCAAAGGGACTTTAAGATTTAGAAGTTGCTATGATAGCTATACCAGAATTTCAGACAGAAGCTGCTACATAGATCTTTATTTTAAAATCTTTATTTATTATTTGGGTGAGGGGATGGAGTGTACCCTCAACAAGTTTACAGACATCCCCAGGTTGGGTGGGAGACACTACAGAAGGGTCTGGACAGATTGGATCAATGTGCTAAGGCCATTAATGAGGTTCAATGAGATCACGTGTTAGGTCCTGTATTTGGGTCACAAGAATCCCATGCAAAGCTACAGAGTGGGGAAAGAATGGCTGGAAATCTGCCTGGAGGTAAAGAACTTAGGGATGGATGCTGGTTAATAGCAGCTGAACATGAGCTAAAGTGTGCCTGGGTGGCCAAAGAAGGCTAATGGGATCCTGGCCTGTATCAGAAATAGTGTGGCCAGCAGGACCAGGGCAATTATCATCCTGTTGCACTTGGCACTGGTGAGGCTGCACCTCGAATCCTGTTTTCAGACTTTGGCTCCTCACTATGAGAAGGGCTGCAGTTCATTTCCCCAGCCCACAGCTGCAATGAGAGACTTGCACCATTTGTTTTCAAGCAAACAGGTGTCTCATCCTTCTGTCACCAGAGAAGGATGAAATCACCCTTGGTAAAGTACACAGACAGACTCACTATTTCCTTAGAATAATTCCTGTTTTCACCCTGTCTCTTTGTCCTATTTGGAAAGGAAGTGGATATGCACAAATATTCTGTAACTCACAAGTGTGCTTAAATGGATAAAAAACTTTGGAGAGGAGTGGATAATGTGGATGTGTTCCCACAACTAAGAACATAACTTGCAGCTTTGTCCTAGACCAACTTCAATATTTTCTCAGCTCCAGCCTGAAGCAATTTACAAAATAATCATTGTGAAGCAGACTCCTGTGCCCTATACTGACCTGTCTCTGTCCTGTGGGCAGGAAAACGTGCTATTCCCACGAAGACATAATATTACTTCAAGAAACTACATTGAACTTCACAATAATAGCAATAAGTTTCCCAAGCATATTTTTTGTGTTCCTTTGTGATCTTTATCCCATACCTTTTCAGAGTGTGTTACACTTTATTAAACAGAAAGCTTGGAAATAATCACACAGCTCATGAAATCCTCTCCCGTCAAGTTGCAGTATCCATGGCACCACCATTACGTATCACTGACCACTAAACACATCAGTAGGAGCTTCAGAGTTGATGGACGAGACCAACAGGCCAATAATAATGACCCACAGGAAGGTGGCAAAGGGCAATACCAATGTTTTAGATTTGTACATCTAATTTGAGGAATTTGCTAAACAAAACGCCTTTTTATAAACCTACTGAGCCTAATATTTTGTGACCTCACCTCAGAGGAAACAGGATACACAGTGAATTGTGTGGCACTCTGAAAAGTATAAGAATTTACAGGTTCAATTTTTAATTTCAGATACATACATGTGAATTGTTTCTGACTCATGGATAATGCATAATTTTGATTGGGATTAGTCCATAAAAGACAGGAGCTAATGTAAATGGTTGAGTTGACTATATCATGAAAGATATGTACATGAAAAGAAAGAGCTAATGTACATTAATAATGCAATCTAAATGAAATTATGTTTTCTTTTGTGAGGTACTGAATACTAGAGTATATAGTAGTATCAGGCACATACTGTGGGGTAAACTTTTTCAAATATTCCTTTGTTCAAATAACTTTCCATAACTGACTATTATCCAGCCCCCATAATACTAATATATTCTAATTCAATTTAAAAGAAAATTTAGCTATGTTAATCAAGTTTATTTGTACATCTGTAACAGGGCATTCTTGTCGTTTTCCATAACTTAAATGTTGATATAAATCCATTAGTTCTATTTATTTCAGAATGCAAAACTCTCAGGACAGAGAAAAAAGTAATTTTCATCAAGAAGGTTCACGATAATTTAGTATTTGTGCATAAGATGGTCTGGGTCATAATCTCAAGTAAATTTTCTCAGTCATCTACTCATTAATGTTTGGTGACTGTTAATGTCTACTGACAATTAAAAGAATTCATAGAAACAATTTCTTTAATAAGAAGTACCACTTTTACAAATTCATTCAAACCACACTGATAACAACTGTATTCACATACAAAAAAGAGCAAATTAAGAACAGCTAAAGGAAAAATTCACCTTGCTTATTCTTTATATTCCTTGATATATTAGGAACTGAGGCATGAATATGCCATCAAGAAAGTGTGCAGAAAAATCAAAGTATTTTAAGACTAAACAGTTGAAACTTAATATTGAGTAAACCATTTCTGTTATTATTAAAAGACCTAAACAATTCAAGTAATTATTGGTCACTTAATTTCCTTTGCAACAAAATCACTTCCTTGCTACAGAAACTACAAAAGTACACAGAGTAGTGCAAGGGCATTTCCTTATACAAAATGCTTGGCATATTATAGATGCCACAAGAAATACTTAAAGAGTCTAGCAACAGTAATCATAGTAATAACAGATCTATTGCCTTAGGAAAACACAGTTTAAAAAATCTGGTCAGTCCAGGGTGCAAGAAGCTGTAAATAATGCACTGATGGCATTACATGGCCTATTGCTTGGAGAACACCGCTCCAGGAAACGTCTTCTAATAATGCTATCCCACAGACTGACTTTGCTGCCTTGCTTTTATCACTTGAGTTCTTTTATTTCACTCATCTATATGACTTTTCCTAATGAAGTTTGAATGCAGTCTCCCCTTGAATACAACTGAAATTATTTATTCTATTTTTCTCTTGAACCCAAATGATAAGAGTTATAAAACTTAAAATTACTGTTCAACAACTGTGATAAAAGAACAACCCATCTAACACAAATGCTTCAGTTTCTACAAACAATCAGAAAAATAGATTTCCACAGCCTGTAGCACTGAAAATGAACAAGCCATATCCATTCTTTATGGCTTGTTACAGCCCAAACACTGGCTACACTTCACCTTTTCCTGACTTAGCCATTACACACTTGGGGTTGCATGTGAGCAATACAGTTCAGAGGTTTAGTGAAAGACTTCTGAATCCTATCAAACATCTCGCTGTACTGCACATTGCTACTGTATATATACGACAGGAAAGGCTAGTCATGGACCCCAGAGCTTATCATTGACAGCCTACACATGCAACTAAAAATAGCTTTCAGAGGTAAAAGTTGCATTATGTAACAATTAGATTTTACTTAAACATTCATGACCAAACACTAGCAGAAAAAAAAAGACTTTTATTCTTTTGTTTATTTGGAATTCAGATGAACAATATTCACAGTATTATGTGGGAAAACCGTAACCTTAGTTTTTAATGACAGACATCTCTAAATTAATAATACTGTTACAGTTTGATTTGGTATGATTTCAAGGACAAATAAAACCTATTCTTTCACTTCTGTATAACATCTGACACATCATTGGGCTGGGTATCATCTGAGATTCATTACTTGAAGGATAACCTCATCTATTAGACAAGCTTCGTTATATAACACTAAATTTACTAACTAGAGTCCAAGAAAAATAGTTATTTTTTTCCTCACAAGAGTAATCATGTTCACTATAGTGGAATTTCAAAAAGAAGTATAAAGTTGTCAGACGTGATCTGTTTAATAAATAAGCAGTTTATAGCCATAAATATTTTGTAACACCTAGGTAACATACCATACATTAAAAATTCTGTTGGTTCCATCATCCTGGAAATATGCTGAGACGGAAAATCAGCAAAACAAACTCACTAGTCCTGCAGTCACAAGCAGCAGCTGATATTTCAAATAGAAAGGGAAGAGAAAGCAGTATTTTAGTGGTATTAACAAATCCTTACCTAGTGGCTGCCCTGCAATGATCCTGGCATTCTCTCCTGCCACCGCAGCCCTCGCGTGCCTCTCGCTCATGTACTGCACGAACGCGTAGCCTTTGTGCACCGAGCAGCCCACTATTTTCCCATACTTTGCAAAGATTGCTTCGATGTCACCTTTTTTGACAATAGCTGTGTTCAGATTACCGATGAAGACTCTGGAGTTGATGGACTTTGGGTCGTTCTTATTGGTGACATTGCTGGTCTGCGTTTTGCCAGTCATGGTTGGATCACTTGGCTTTAAATCTTAAATAAAGAACAAAGAGAATTATGTTTCTAAGCATACAGTTACCCTGACTTCGGATGATTTATCCAGCAATAATCCACTTTTCATTTTTCACTTTAGGTGAATCTCTACTCAGAAGAATCAAACTATATAAAACATATTATCAATAAAATCAAGACAGCACATTTTAAAATACTAGTCTAAAGTAAAATTTAAACTTCTTATTTTTATAGATGTGAAATATAACAATACATCACTTAATATAATGCTGTGATAGCAGAGCTTTACTGTAATCATATGTGGATTTCTGCTTAGAAATTCAATATTGACTTTTTAAGTACTTAGCCATCTAGAAACTGCAAAGCAAGAGAATGAATCATTATCTACTGTCAAAGAAATGAACATTCAAGGCCATGTAGAGAGCAAACTCTTAAAATGAAAAACAACTCTGCTTTTGTTTGGTGTCAGTTAGAGCATATTTCTCACCACTTAAATATCGCTGTGAGGTGTGCAAGGCAGGTAACATACAATTCTTTACTGCAATCAATATGTTTCTATCAGAACAATTTTCCCTGTAAATTCAGTACAAAGAAAGAAGTGAGAAAAGACAGTAGCTTATGTTCTGAGAATTGAAAAGCAGGAAAAGAAGTTGCTTTAACTCTAGGAATACAGCTTTTCTTGCTTCTTTGCTCTTTTATCTGAGGTCGCAAGTCAAAAATGCATCCTGGTAAATCTCTGATGGGGATAACTACATTATTTCTGCGAAATATTTGGTAGAAGAAGAAAAAATCCCAACACTTCTTGTGTTCATCTAACTTCACCCCTCTGAAGTGCATGTGATTTTCATAATTTACATGCAAGTTCCATCTGCCAGCAGGTCCCTCTATTTACATCAATTTACTTATATGCATATGAAATGAAAGAAATTGTCCCAGCTCTGCACTGGGTTTTCTTTAGCTTTAGTAGACCACAAAAATGTCAAAAATATGCATAGCTTTAAGTAGAGAAAGCTTATTTTGCAAGAAGAATGTCATTTATGCAGCAGCCAAATACAAGCCGTGTCTTACAGCCAAGAACTCTGTTAGTATTTTTTAACCTGTTCATACTTTTCATTAGATCAGAGTAACAACTCAGGCAAGAGGAGAATCCAGTTAAATACTTTTCACAGTTAAAACTCAGTACATTCCTGAGAATGAGAAGATATAATAACCTCTATTCTGAACATCCAAATTGGAAGTTTCATATTTTAAATCAGTAGCTACCATACATGAAGATAGAAAAAGAAACCATTGTCACTGAACTCTGCAGAATACCTGCTGAACAAAACAGACACAGTCACAGCCATCAGCACTTTGAGTGCCTCCATCCCAGAGGATCCAAACCCCATCATCCAGACAAGAACACACAATGAAGATGTGTGGGCAGTTCTCCTGAGTCTCAGCCTCCTTTATTAAATAAACGTATGCAGTAGAGCTGCCAGTCAAATAGCTTTCACTTGATTAACAACTCAGCATGGCAACTTAGTTTATATTACAGCATTTAGAGAGAGCACTGAAGAAAATAAGAAAAAAGTATGTTTTCCTCTAAGTTTATTCATTTTTAAAAACATTGTGGAGACATAACATACTGTATACATGCAGAAATTTCAGCATGGAAAATCAGGAAAACTGTCTTGAATGCAAGCCTCTGACCTTTATGATAAGACAAATTCAATATTGTATATTTCTAGATTGCTGTGCAGATTGTGCATGTTCCAAGTCATGTCTATATATAACTAACCCAAATATTGTGAACATTCAAAGTAGTATGCTTGGTACCAAAATATTATGATGGCAAACCATTTACAAAATGTAAATATAATGCACACTAAGATCTATATTGGCATAAAGTAGACTACAGATGTTTTCTGAGACCTAAGAAGTTTAACCCTCTCTTAGATACACCTGTATTACACAGGAGCCAAAATGACAGAAACACAGCCATGGTGGCTTAAAGACCCTACTGGCCCAAACTGAAGAGGTAACACGGCAGAATTACAAGGTATAAGAGTAACAAGGTATAAATAAGAGTAACATTGTTGGTGCAGTTGCTGATGAACAGCTGGTATCCCTTGTGGTGCTGAGTTGCGCAACACTTCAATTACCACTCTCTTGGGAAAACTTGGAGAGTATTGTTTTTGGAGAGTATTATTATCTTTGTGAAGATCCAGGGCTAAAAAGTTGTATCTGTTCTTATACAATTCTTAGCATCTTGTTGATATTATGTACATTTATCAAGAGTGTAGCTGAAGTTATTTTACCAAACTCATAGCGACAGTTCATCACAAGTATGATCACTGGTTTAGAAAGCAGTAGCCTGGACTGGTAGACCCATCTCTTCCATTAAATGCTGTATGACTCCCAGTAAGATGCTTTTAGTGCCTCTGTTTCCACTTTTTAATCTTCAGACTGGCATTTTTTTGACTAAGGGCTATGTCTCAATGTATTTTTATACAAATTCTAACACTTCTAACTTCACGTGACCTCAGCTGGAATGTTTAAGCACAACCAACAGACCACTAAAAAAAAAAAAAATCCAAGTAGGAAAAAATCTACAGAAAATCTGCCAGAAGTCAATTCACATGAAAATTATATGCAACAAACCACTTTATTTAGTATCATCAATATTTTCTACCATACACATTACAGCCACAATGCCACAATGTTTTCTAAACACTCTACTACAGTCAGTATTTCCTCTGTTGTTTAGCCATTTAACATGGGATTTGGTGAACTATTCTTATCTCATAAAAATCCTCATTTTGCTTTTACCCAGTTTTTCTATGTACTAATTTAAATAGACTTTGAATAGGACATTGAATATTTCTCTCTTGTAGTTGTTCTTTGCAATGCAAATTTACAATATTTTTATAACACAAAGAAAAGTAGTTGTCTGGTGGGTTCTCTCATATTCAAATGAGCAGTCAGGAAAACGTGCTGCAGAAATTCAAAGGGTGAGAATAATGCTAACATGAATGATTGAGATTTGATTGCCTAGCTGGTCACAATAGTATTGTGAATATTTCATAAAAATCAAAGATCCGTGGGATCTTCATTACAATGTGAAAGAATTTATGGCAACTTCTACACCTCACTACCAATATACATCTGTGAATACTGAATTATACCCATATTCTCTGAGCTATGGGTAAAATCACAAACATTGTACCTCATAAAAATGCACAAATAAATGAAATAGAGAAACATTTGAAATAACCTCACTTCCTTGCAGACTTTAATAAAGTATCTTGCTAATTTCCTACCATTAAAGTGATCCTTTCTGATAATAAATACCTCCTATATGCCAAGCATATATTTTTAAAAATGCTTTACAAATAACATTTAGGTATCAGTGCATTTCATCATATTTATTTATTCAATTAAAATTTCTAATATGTTGAACTAGAATGAAAATGCAAATTACTAAAATGAGATTCCCATCATCCAGGACATACAAGTGAAAAATTTAAACCAGTCAATGTGAAGTGCAAAAGAGAGGAGTAGAATTTAAGTCTCGGCTTCCTTCACTTTTCCAGCATTTTATGACAAAGTTTGGCTAAGCACCAGCATGACAAAACGTTGCTTTGTAGCTGTGAAACTCATTTTTCCAGAAGATGCATGTGAGCCCACAGCTCCATTCCACAGATGTTTCCCCTCTGGTGCTGTGCCCAGCAGCAGAGCAGTGAAGACCACAATCCCTTTACAGTTCTGCCATGGCCCAGTGCAGGGAAAACACAGAACTTGGCCCAAAGAGAAAGGGAACAACTTGTCAAATTCTACATTCCAGTGACTCCCAAGCTTTTCTTTTAGGGAGTAGGGTCAAGGTACAGACATAAAAGTTGGACTTGTGCTTGCTGTGTTGCTTTATGCACTTTCACAATGACTCTTCACACAGTAAAATGCAAAATTTGTCTTTGAACAGACAGTAATTTGGTCAAACTGCAAGAAAAAAATTAGGATATATAAAAGTTTGAAGATCTTAGTTAAAGGGATTTTGAAAGCACTTCGCTTCAGCATTTCCCCAATTGCACAACTGTTTCTTATTTTAAAATACTCAGAGGAACTCAGAAACTCTAAGTAAAATTTCTACCAAATACTGAAATATCGTCTCTGGAGTTGTTCTTATGCATTTTCCTATGCTGAATTAACCAATAAGACTAACCTGTAATAACTCTGTTAGAATGAGAAAAATCAGATAAATCTCTTTAAAAGACTAGGAAGTATTTATATTGAGGACTTGGGTTTCTCTCTTATTATTTTCTCTCTTTATTTTTTTTCCTAAGAACTAGAACTAATTTTGCTTTAAAAAATTGTCTTCATTAAGTTTAGTAATACTGTCAGGTGTTTCTACAGATTTATGTTCTTTTACCTTGGAGCTGCTTCTTTCCTTTCAACAATAAAACCTTTTAACCAAATAGAAAAAAGTCTACATATTTAAATAAAATAAGTATTATTTTCAGTGTCTTTAGGAAAAAATAGGGTCTACTAAGGAAAAAGTGAAATAACAAAATTGAAAATCTTTAAGGAATACAAATCCTTTTTGAAAATTAAATAAAACTCTATTATTTTTATAGAGATTTAATATCAAACTTCTATGCATTTATATATTTTTATGAAGGAAATAGGAAAAAATGAAACCAAATTTCATTTCTCTTCTCCCACCACCCCCCAAAAAAAATTCATTTTGAGATCATGTTTAGAGCTGAGCCAGTAAGTTGTCAACCCTGTGTATTAGATTTGTGTGATAGCAAAAGTTATTCTGTGGAAAAAGATTTTTAAATATGAAAAATTTCATCACTGACAGGTTACTCTAAACACCATTATATTCAAAACCTTAATTTTTGCTATTTAATATAAGATGTTTACACAGTGATATTCATAGTGCATTTGATTATTGCAAATCCTTCTAGCAAAGATAAAGACCTAAACAGACCCATGGTTGAAGTCATGATTGTTTCCACAATGACATCCACAGCAGCAAG